CTGGGCCCTCCTGCAGGGGTCAGAGGCAAAATTGCATTAGCTGGCAGAAGTCTTGTGCAACATACTCTACCCCTCTGAGCCTCAGGGCCCTCGATCGTGAAACTGGGGATAAGAATACTACCTGGAGCACTATGAGGATTAAATAATATTCTATAATAGGAGTACACTTTAGAGGTGTAAAACACCATATAAATGTCAGGTGCCCTCATTTGTTTCTGTCTTCAGGTCCTTCTTAGTTACACTTTTGCCTCTTTTTTTTTCCCTCCTTGCCTCCCCCTTCCTCTCATTGCCCTCTCTCTGGTGCCCTCCTTCACGCCATATAGACTTAATACGTCCACAAAAGAATGTTTATTTATATGGCCCCCATGAACTCCTCCCGTATTCCTTCCCATTTTGATGAATAGAACCATCGTTTACCCAGTTTCTCGGGTTAAAATCCAAGAAGTGATCTTTGATTCCTTTTTTCTCATAAAGCCCACATTCCATCCATCAGTATGTCTTATGGGTGATTCCTCCAAAACATATCCTGAATCTGCCCATTTCTCACCACCACCTCTCCTACCACTGTATTCCTGGCCACCAGCATGTCTTGCCTGGATGACTGCAAAGGCCTCCTAACTGGTCTTGCTTCTTCCACTTTTGCCCCCTAGAAGCCCTTCTGTGCATATCAGAGTCATATTTGCAAAACATAAATCAAATCATATCACTCTTCTGTTCAAAAGACTCCATTGGCTTCCAAATTGTTCACCATGGTCTACAAGGCCCTACATGATCTGGTCCTTGCCTCTCTCTTCAACTTTCAATGACTACGCTGCAGCTCAGGGGTCCCTTTCTGTCCTTCATACAAACTATGCTTATTTTTGTCTTAGGGCTTTCATATGCCTGATCTCATCTTGTCTCTGTTCAGGTGTTACCTCCTCAGAGGGACCTTCCTTGAGCTGCCTATATAAATTCTGCCCCCAGTGACTCTTCAGCACATCACCCTTTTGTGTGTGTTCCTTAATTCCTGAAGTTATCCTATTTCTTTATTTATACATGTATTGTTGGTCCATGTGTCAGTCTCACCGCTGTTCTCCAGTGATAAGAATAATACTTGGCGGGCACCTGGGTGGCTCAGATGGTTAAGCGTCTGTCTTCGGCTCAGGTCATGATCCCAGGGTCCTGGGATCGAGTCCCACATCGGGCTCCCTGCTCCTTGGGAGCCTGCTTCTCCCTCTGCTTCTCTCTCTCTGTCTCTCATGAATAAATAAATAAAATCTTTAAAAAAAAAAAAAAGAATAATACTTGGCACATTGTAAGTGCTCACTCAATTTTGTGGATGAGTGAATGAATGCCCTTATTCCAAAGTACTTCTCTTTCTTTTCTTCCCCCACTCTCGCTCCATCAAAATGCCCTCTCCTTCAGAGCATGGATTTCATTTGGAAGGTGATAGGGAGGCCTCCACAAATATTTGCTGAATGAATGAAGCTAAAATGAATTACACCAACAAAGAATCCCAGCCTCTTGATGCTTAGCTATTCCCAGAAGTATTAGCATTCTCAAACAGGAAGCTTGAATTTCAGGCATTGTTGACAAAGGGAAGAATTTCAGGCCAGCCAAGTTGAAGTGATATATTTGGACAGAGTTGCTGTTCCCGGACTTCTTAAACCCACAAATATTTATTAAGACCCTTTAAAGCTCCTTTGAAACCACAGTTGACATTAAAATGTAAAACACCGATTGAGAAGCATTGTTTGTGTCTGAGGAAAAAAACTGTGGACTGGGAAGTGGAAGGCTGGGTTTCAATGCCCAGTGTGCCTCTAATTAGTTCCTTGGACAAGTTGCTAAAGATCACCAATATTTACTGAGTATCTAGCATGTGCCTGGCCCTGAGCGGCACTTTCTTCGCAGGTGTCATTTTTGCAACTTCTCAGGTGGATATATTTAGTATCTTTTTTTTTTTAAGATTTTATTTATTTATTTGAGAGCGAGAATGAGAGAGAGAGAGAGCATGAGAGGGGGAGGGTCAGAGGGAGAAGCAGACTCCCTGCCGAGCAGGGAGCCCGATGCGGGACTCGATCCCAGGACCCCAGGATCACGACCTGAGCCGAAGGCAGTCGCTTAACCAACTGAGCCACCCAGGCGCCCCTAGTATCTTTTTTATAGGCGGGGAGACAAGGTCAGAGAGGTCAGGTATCAGGCATGAGGGCACTCCCTGATAAACAGTGGACCCAGGATCCTGTCAGCCTGCCCTCCTGTACCTTCCCCTGTACCCTGATAAGGCACTTCACATCTTCTCCCATGAATCTGTAAATGGTGTGTGTGTGGGGGGGTGCCTGGGGAGGAAACTCTTGGGCTCTAAGGAGTTGCTTTCTAAGATCCCTTTCACATGAGCGTGTTTTTTCTGGATGAATACGAGAGGAAGAGAAAACAAGTCTGGCCCGAAGAACTCATTTGGGAATGTAACTTAGTGGTTAGAGTGAAGGCTTGGGAGTTAAGTTTTCAAGTTAACATCTGGACTTTACCACTCATCTGAGGCATCCACAACTTGGGTAGCCAGAGCACCTACCTCCTAGGTCATCACGAGACACAACCGAGGTGATGCCTGTAGAATGTGGGGACCGGCTCAGTGAGCACTCCATGACTATCAGATATTTATTTGATTATTAGCCTAATAATGATTACGATGAACATTATAAAAGAAAGCATGGAAAAGGGGCCAAAGGGGAAGCCCATCGGAGAAGAGGTAGGTGCTTGTCAGCGCACAGGAAGGCCGGATTACCACTAGCCAGTCTTGGCAAGTGGCTCCCAGAGCCACTATATCAGCCAAGGAGATGGCCCGGGGGTGGGGGGTGGGGGGGAGGCTCCCAACAGCAGCAGTGTCAGGAGAGAGCCCCTGAAAGGCAGGAAGCCCAGAGGCCGCAGGAAACATTAGCTGGAGAAACAAAGTGTGTTGAAAAGCTGAGCCTGGTGCAAGATAGGAGCAGGAGAGAGAAACCCACGAAGAGTTCTAAGTACCTCACTGACGTCTGTTCTGTTTTCTCTGATTACCAAAGTCATATACTGGTATTTCATAGAGCTTTATATCAGGCAAATAGCAAAAGAGTCCCCGATCCAAGTTTTGAAAAATCTTCTCATTGTAGTTGAATACATACAGAGAAATGCACAAACCATTCTCGAAGAATTTTCTCAAAGTGAATACTCCCAGGTAGCCAGCACCCAGACTGTGGAACATAACGTTCATCAGTGCACTGGAAGTCACCCTGTTTTGCCCCCTTCCAGTCACTACTGATCCCAACAGGGATTTCTTTTCTGATTTCTTTCACCCTTGATAAGTTTTACCTGTTTTAAAATTTTATTTTCAGAGAACTTTTTAAAGATTTTATTTATTTTAGAGAGAAAGAGAAAGTGCACAAGTGGGGAGGGAGGGGCCCAGGGAGAAGGAGAGAGAGAGAATCTCAAGCAGACTCTGTGGGGAGCGCAGAACCAAGGCTGGGCTCCATCCTGCGACCCTGAGATCATGACCTGAGCCGCAAAGAATTGGATGCTTAGCTGCCTGAGCCACCCAGGAGCCCCCAGTTTTAAAATTTTAAATAAATAGAAACACAGAGAATGTACCCTTTTGGGGTGCCTGGGTGGCTCAGTGGTTAAGCGTCTGCCTTCGGCTCAGGTCATGATCCTAGGGTCCTGGGATCGAGCCCCGCATCGGGCTACCTGCTCAGTGCGGAGCCTGCTTCTCCCGCTCCCTCTGTCGCTCCCCCTGCTTGTGCTCTCTCTCTCTGTCAAATAAATAAAATCTTTCAAAAAAAAGTATATATAAGGGGGCTCCTGGAGAAATTTTAGAGTATCACAACTCTCTAAGAGCAGAGGATGAGGAGAGGGCAGTCCAATGGCACTTGTCCAATGACCTCCCAATGGATCTCTCTGCTTCCAATCTACCAAGGACACCATGGCCAGATGATCTGTCCCAAATTCCACTTTTATCCTGTCATCCCCCACCCCCTCCCCGATAGAGGCCCTTCTTTAAAGCCAACCACATTTCCACGGCAGCACTGGATCACATACCTTGCTGGCCTTTGACTAGATTTTAGTCATTTCTTATATTCATTCATCTATGTGACAAATATCGAATGCCTACAATCTGGGATTGGAGTAACATACACATCCCTACCTTCACGCAGCTAACATTCTAGCAGGAAGAGCTAGACAATCAACAAAGAAGAATATGTTAGTGGTGATAGGGGTCTGGTGGAAAAGAAAGCAATGTAGGGAGAGTAAGAAGAACGGGGTGGGTGAGGAATGTGCTGTCATCTAGTAGGTTGGTCAGGGAAAGCCTGCAAGGCAGACAAGAGCTGGATTACGTTTTACACGATCGCTCTGGCTACTGTGTTAGAAATGGGCTATACGAGAGCAAGGGGGAAGAAAGGAGACAGGCAGTCGTCGGAAGAGTTCGAGCCAGAGATGATGGTGAATTGGACCGGGGTGATGGTAGGGGCAGTGATCAGAAGTGGCTGCATTCAGCATATATTCCAAAGGTAGGAGTGACAAGGTTTGCTGACATATTGGTTGTGGAGCATGAGAGGGAAGTCAAAGGTGCCCTGTTCCCGCCAGGGGCAATGCCTCATTGGGTATATAGTGCGGGACCAGGCCCCGAGTCCAGAGTCTATTGACTGAATGGGTGGACGTCTTTCTGATTACAGCCAGCCAAAATTCCTATGTGAGAGGTTTATTTTCTGGTGTCTCAGAGGTGGTCTGATATAAATATTAAGACAAGTAATTGCAGTCAGACTGCAGTCCCAGCTCTGTCACTTACCAACTGTGTATCTTCAGGTAAGTTACATAACCTCTCTGAGCCTCAGCTTTCTCCTCTGGAAAAATGGGATGATGACAGTAGCTCCATCACACTGTTGTCAGGGATATTGAGATAGTGTCCATAAAAAGGCCTGGCATAGAACCTAATATCGACTCAGGGCTTAGGAACTATGTTAAACCAGTTCCCAGATAAAACAAGCAGACAGAAGTCTGTGGAGTAAGGGTTATCTTTATTTGAGTTGCAAAATATAAATATGAACCAGGTTTGGAAATACAGGTTGTAACAGTTCAGAAATGGCACCAGAAACTTCCAGAAGGGACCATGATAGCATACCTTTTTAGTTTTCGGTGAGGTGGGTGGGTTTCCACAAAAGCCCTCCTCACCTCCGAACTCTGTAGTAATTGGTAGGTCATCAGTTAACAAGAACAGTCGGCTCCAATGTCTCCTGCTCCTCCTCAGCCTTTTTCTTTGCTGATACCTTCTCTAGACTATCCTCTGCTGCACTGACCCCTGCATGGAGTAGCACCAGAAGAATGGCGGGAGTAAGAGAAATGTCATGACACAGGGAAGAGGGAGTTCCCACTCTGTGGGCCTGGGGCCGTGGGGGTTGAGGAGCCAGGAAAGCTGCCGGCATGGAAGCCCAACCTCTTACGAGATTTCGCAGGGAGAGGACATAGGCAAACACCAATATCTGTTACGCTTGGACATCAGCACTGTGGGCTTTCAAAACACAAACGATAGACAAAATCGCCTAGGCAAGACCGCAGTCCAACTCATAGAGTGGACCTGACAAAGTTAACTTCTATATCCTGACTCTACTGACCTCCCCCTGTGGCACCGTGATTGTGAAAGATCTTCAGAAATGTGGACAGAGAACAGATTACTACAGATGGGTCACAGAACCATCTCAGAGTTGTGGCAGAGGGGTGCGACACTGAGCCAGGTGGTGGGGCATACAAGGTCGAGGGCCAGGAAATCGCCAAAGTAACAGACTAGGCACTTGAAATATTATTGTTAGATTGTTAAAAACTAAATAAATTAACATACATAGAATAAAATAAATATATAATTTAAGAGGCATTTTACAAACAAACAAACAAAAAATAGTTGTTATTCTTCCGTCTGGGTAGAAGTCCCAAAATTCAGAGTTCTCGGGCTTGTGGTATTTATTTCACAGTTAGCTCATCAAATCCAGCGCTAGAGGGTCCAAATGGCAGATCCCTTGGTGGCTACTTGAGTACATGGCTTCTCAACCTTTGTAACTTTCTTCCAATCCACAAAGCTTTCCTTCCTCCTCTCCTTCTTCTTTTTTATCAAAGATCCTGGAGCATATGGAATATAACTGGCATCTGAATCCAGAAGTTAATCGTTTAAACACACTTATGAGGATACGTGGGGTTTGGAGGAGGGGAATCAGAAGGGCATGAAGGTCTCTCACTTTTGCTTTCTTCTCACCAAGATCCCATTTTGACATATTCCGTTTGGCACTTGAAGGCTCTGGTATTTTGGCAAAAATACCAGATTATGGGAGGCCCAATCTAGATAGCAACTGGGAACGAAGGAGTCTTCCTGACTAGCTGTGACGTTCTTTCCCTCTGCAGAGTCTACGATCAGCTGTGCCTTCTCAGAGGTAGCAGTCGCCCCGCAGATTCCTAAAGCACAAAAGGAAGGCATTTAAAGCTGGATCCAGTCTTAAGAGGTCTTAAGAGTTTCCCAGGTCCAGTCTTATGAAGTAGGAAGGTCATCTGGGAATGGGCAGAAGAGGGGACAAGGATGGGAGAAGCTGTTGTCTTAGGCATCTCTCTCAGGTGTTTCTCTAGCAACTGTCACCCCTAGTGGAGATGGCCCACTGAAAACCTTTTTGAAAACCATTCTGCAATGGGACCCTGACTCCATAGTAGCCTGCCCCCAGCCCCTAGGTCGAGAGAAGAATTCAGAATGCCTTGAAGGGAAGATGGTGATGGTGTCATGGGGCAAAGGATGGACCATTACCTTGAGCACAGGTCTCTCTCAGTGGGAAGTAGTCATGCCCAACTTCACTTTCTCTTCACTTTCCACATCATAACCTCCTCTCCTATGGTACCTGAAGGAGACAAGTTTTGTGAGCAAGCTCTGCCTGATATGATAGGGTGCAGGTCTCAGAGAAGGTCTTTCTAAAGGACACTGCCATGATGGTTCCCTCCGTTACTTGGAAAAGCCAAGATGGTATGGCAGCCCAACAGACCTCTGGTCAAAGGCCCAACTGCCCCAAGGAATGCCTGTCTCTAACAGCAGGCTATAATTTGCTGAGAACTTTGACCTTGTTTACATATCCTCATAATATCCTTATGAGGTAGGTAGACAGATTACAATCACTGTAAGATGACAGCCGTCAGAGAGACAGGTAACTTGGTCCAGATCTCACAACAGACGAACTGCACGGCTTGGAAATGGGCAGAGTGTTTGGTAGGTCTCCCCCAGTCTAGAACATAACCTGGACTGGAAGCCCGGCCTGAGGGTGAGATGCTTCAGAATTGAAAGGATATCCCAATAGCCATACACCAGCCATGCTTTGTCAATCAAACCACACACTAATGCCGTCAAAGAACAGAGCAAAGGGAAAGAACTGTGAGAAGAGGTAGACCCATGCGTGGGTTACTAGGCCTGCTGTGAAAAGCAGGACCTGCTATGACCTGGCAATCTTTGCCCTGGGCTCTGGACCACTGGACTCACGTCAGGCCAGAGAAGCTAGGTTCCTAGAGAACCTGGACTCAGGAATGTCGGTCAGATTCCTAGCCTGGAATTTGGGAGGCTGAAGGGCTCATAGGATCACAGGCAGAAGACCCAGCCGGAGGAGGAATGGGAGTGATTTGCAGAAGCAGCCTGCAGGGGGCCCCAATACTCACCGAAACATGAGAAGCCCCGCGATGACAAGCAGACAGACAGACGACAGCACCACGGCCACCACAGCCAGGATGGTTGTATGGTCATAAGTATATAAGCGATTTTCCACTGGGAGGCTCAGCCCATGGCACCTCTCTCCGTGGTAACCGGGCTCGCAGCTGGTTCCAGACGGGACAAAGCAAAGATGAGGTTAGTGGTCTGTCCTCTCTCTACAGGCAATGGTCCTCCTGCCTAAGCCAGATTGCAGTCCTCACAGCCTCAGCCTATCAGTCCCTGGCCTTGATCCCCACCCTTCCGCTATCCTTCTGGAAGGGGTCTAGGAGAAGACTCCTGAGAAGCCGCTCTGAAGGCTCTGTGGCTTTCCTCCCCACCCTTCGCCCCCCTCTCCATTCCCTCTGGTTCTCTGGCTCAAGATTCTCGCTCCAGGCGGGGAAAAAGTGAGGGAGGACTTCAAGGTCCAAGCTACATATGTTCCATGTGTGGATGATTTATTACATGTGTATTAAGACATGCTGTTTAAGCCCCTCAGAAGACTTAGGTCCATGAGCTGGTGGGTTGAGTTGAGGGGACCGAGTATCCTTCCCTCTGGTGAGGCCCCTTAACTCTGACCCAGAAATAAACCCAGCCTTCTCCACCACGGCTTCCAGCCCTCAGTCCCTCTCAGCCGCGGCTCATCCTATTAATAGGTCCTGTTCCTTTGCCAGGAGTCATTTTTCTCAAGTTCCTTTCATTTAACTCCCAGCTCCCTCTGGGTGCAGGGCCCAATTTGAGAGCTTCACATCAACTTTTGGCCTCTGAACCCTGGGCTATCTGGCCTCCTCAATCATAGGACAAAGCAAAAAAAACCAAGGTAACTTCTTGCCCAGCTGTCTTGCCAGAGCATGGAAAAATGTCAGAAACAACACTCCGGCTTTTCACACCCAAGAAATCAATCAGACGGCAAATGCCTCTTCTAACATAAAGCATTTCCTCGAAGCTCTTAGGAAGACTGGGAAGCCCTTTCAGTTGAACAAGCACATTCATGTCCCTTCCTGTATCTGAGTGCCCGAGAGGCCCTTTGATGTAGGTGGCAGCCCCCCACGTTACAGAAAGGCAGAGCTATCCTCCCCATGGTCACTCAGCAGAGCAGAAGCGTGGTCTCAGTTTATCTGACTCTGAGCTCAGTGTGCCCCCCAATCACACACACAAGCGCACTGGCACCATCTGCCTGGGGACTTTGGGCCACTAGCTTGCTGACGGAAGCACCGAGAACCTGGCGGCCCTCTATTCGGAGCTATGCCTCCTCTGGGAAGCAGGCTGTGCATGTGGTAGGTACCTCAGAGCAAGGAATCCCTTCTTCTTGCCGAGAGGCACCCCGGAAGCGGACCTATCCGGACCGGGCAGCAGCAGGAGGGCCAGGCCGCCCCTGCTGAGTGCCGAGCGCCTCTCCCTGCCTCAGCTCCTCCTGGGTGCTTTGGGGAACCACCTCACTGTAGGATAAATGTGGGTCAATCCCGTATATACACAGCAGGGCACACGGCTCCATGCCCAGCCTCTCCATGAACCCATTGGCCAAGGTGGGCAAAACAACGACCCCCATCCTGGCAGGCTATGGAGGAAGGTCTCAGGAGAGCCCCTGGAAAATCACTTATGCACAGCGGTTAACAGTTTATAAGGTACTATCCTTATCTGCTAGCTCAACTGAGGCTCATAACATCTGGTAGGCAGGTACAGCCCCATTTTACAGATTGAAAGACTAAGATTAACGATCAGAGGGTGTGATTTACCAAAAGTAGCATAACTAAGAAGCAGCAAGGCTAAGAGTAGAAACCAGTCCAAGCAGATTCCAAATTCATGATTCTTTCCACTCGGAACAGCACAGATTACCCCCAGGAAACACGTATCTGATGAAGTGATAGGTTCCTGTGGTTGTCTAACCCTGCTCTTTGACTTATTATTATTAATTTGAATAATAAATAGCAAACATTAAAGGCTTACGGTGAGCCAAGTGCTCTGTGCTAATTGCTTTACAAGAATCATTTCAATTAATCTTAAAAACATCTCTGTGGAGTAGGAGTTACTATCCCCATTTCAAAGATGGAGAGACTGAGGCTTAAGTTCTTAGCTAATTCGCCCAAGGTTATGCAGCTAGTGAGAGGTAGAGCCAGGATTCAACCCAGCAGTCTAGATGACTTCAGAGACTATGCTCTCCTGGGGGAGTGGGGGGGCGGTGGGAGAAGGGAAGTGAAGCTGAGGCTGTTTTTCACTTCCAGCCATCACTCAAACCCCACAGGTAGTTACTCAGATGATAGAAATAAAGCTTGGTCTCAGAGTCCCGCAATTCAGTTACATAATCCCTCCACCCCCACCCTGAGTCAAAAGGATAATAATGTAAACATCCTAATATTACCCACCTCCCCCTCCCTTTGCAGATGACTCCTGGCTTCCCCAGGGAAGGAGGGTGGATGAGTCCATTCCAAGCATCCCGGGTGGGGGCAAGATCATGTATCTTGCTCAGAGCCAGCAACCCACCAAACTGGAACATGCTCCTCCTACTGATGTTTGTGACCCATTTCAGAACTTGTATTAGCATTACAATGGAAGGAAGAACCCTCTAGGGTCCAGAGACATCTTCCAAACTGGGTTTCTCCACCCCTACCTCATGTCTTGCTGCTATTTCTAGCCAGGTGATCTTGAGCAAGTTACTTTTACCTTTCCAAGCTTGGGTTTACTCATGTAAAACACAGGAATAATAAATACCTATTTCACGAGAGTACTTTGAAGATCAAATGAGATACTACACTTAACAGCCCTTAACAAAAGGCCAAGTCCCACATATGTGTGAGTGATTATATAATAGGACTCCAGAGGGTACTGCCCTGAGGAATGGGGCACCGAAGTCAGATGGAGCCAAAGAGAAGGGGGCTCGCTGTTCCTTCTCAGCATCTGGCCAGTGAGGCCAAGGGAAGGCCCCACGCCTGTCTGTCTTCCAGCTGAGTTCTCCTCAGCCTGACTGCCTCCAGGTTTCCTCCGGCCACAGGAAACTTTGCAGCCAGTTTCTGGGTCAGCAGCCAGTCAGGAGCCCCAGGAAACTGCTCTTTGAGGGCAACTTTTGGCTGGTGACACAGAAGGGTTTTCCTGGCTATGGTGGCTGAGGAGGACTGGTTTAGGAAGCCAGCTAGCCTCAAGCTCCTCAGGGCAGCCTGGACACACTCCGGCTGGCGGTTCCTGGGTCTAGAGGAAGGAGGAGCAACAAAGGACCCCAAATGTAGGTGACCAGATATCACATTTCCCCACACCGGGAGCTCTGTGTCTTCTTGCTGCTTTCTGCCCCAAGTTCCAAATGCCAGAGGCAGGAGGTAGCCAAAGCGGACACAGAATCCAGCCCCTAGCAAATCTGCCTAGGAAGCAGAGACAAAGTCTTCAAATCAGATTGCTATGCTACGAAAAGCCTTAGGAGACCTCGAACCTAACGGCTGTCCTCTATAAAATCCTATTCAAACTCTGTAAGGACAGATAGGGAAGAAGGACACAAGCCAACACCCAGTACAGCCTGGGGGCATGAAAAGCATGCTGGACTGGAAGTCAGGCACCTGAATCCTTTTTCTGTTTCCATCCATTTATTTAGCTGTTGATCTCAGGCAAATCACTTCCTACTTCCTGGCTCTAGTTTCCTCACCTTTCAACTAGAGATAACAAGCCCTACCAACCCCCGCCTAGGGCTTTTGAGAATCCCAGGACAGGACTATAATTCCCCATTCCCTAGAATAGTTGGCACCAGGTAGGTACTGAACCCGCGCCTGCGGGGCTCAGCTCATATTAGAAGTTAATTGTGAAGTTATGGCGCAAAGGAGAGAAGGCATCGTCATGGTTATCGTCACTATCCCTAGGACCACCTTGGCCCTATGCACCCTTATCTACCGGCTTTCGCCGGTGGGTCAGGCCCAGCTCTCCAGGATAGCACCCTTACAGAGGTTCTCAGCTACGCAGTCGAAGTCCATCCACCAAAGCCCTGGACCAGACAGATTCCTGGCCTCGATCCATCTTGACCACCCTCGGAGTCACTGCCTCCATCCTGTGCCAAAGATGGCCTTTTACAAATTTAAGACAAACATTTCCCACCCTATCCCAAGACCTTGGGAAGAATAATATGGGGACTGTCTATGTTACTCTAAAGCAACTCGCTCTAATACCAAGCTCCTGACAGGGATGTTATAGGGGAGGACACACAAGTGATCTTGGACATGGTAGAGAGTGATGGGTCTGTCTGCCAATTGCCAAGTACAGGGCAGCTTTGCTATGTCAGATCAGTCAGGACAAGGAAGCTTTAAAAAGCCAAGGGAGGGGCACCTGGGTGGCTCAGATGGTTAAGCATC